CCCCGCCCCTTCCGCCAGAGGCCCCGCCCCTTCCATTGAGCTGCCCCCCCTCCCACCTTGGCCAGGAGCCCGGCAACTCTGTCTGCCTCACTAACCAACAGGTGCCTGATGCTAACATTTTGGGGAATTCTGTAATAATCTCTAGTCGCTATGGCAGTTGCCATGGTAACTCATGGACGATGGTACCAACAGTAAGGGAACAGCCAGTTCGCGATGGGACACCTGGAAATAAGCAGGGTGAGGAAGCATGGAGAAGGCTGGAGCCCCTCATGCGCACGTACGAGCCTTAGTGTGTGAGAGTGGAACTTGGGGTCGATGGCATGGTCCGGCTGTGGTGAAAATGCACAGGGGAGATGCCAGGATGCAGAGCCAGACGCAAAGAAATGAAGCAATAGTTTAGGGCCCCTCCCAATTAATGATTCGTAGGTGTACGTGGGAGGTGTAGTCCTGCTTAGGGCTGGCACTGCCAGGATGTCAGCCGCGAGCGATGATGACAACAAAGAGGATAATAGGAAAGATCATGACCGATGCTCCACGGTTCCTCAGGAAGAGAGGCGAGGGATCCGCCCTAATGAAGGCTGTGAGTCTGTCGTAGAAGTCACAGATCCATGATTTCTGTGACGTCAGCAGCAATGAGTGTGGCTGGCCCAGGGATGGCTGCACCAGCTGCTGCAGGGGCAGACCTGGGGCACTGTCCCCTGCCCCCCCCTCCCCCAGCAGAAGCAGGAATCTGCCACCTATGTACCCCCCACACGCCCCATTAGTAGCAAGGATCCCAGGCTGCATGCTGTTGCACCTCCTTAGTAGCAGCAGGGGTCCCAGGATGCTAACTGCTGCCCACCTCTTCCCTCCTCCCTCCTCCCTCCTGCCTCCCCCAGATCATCTGCAGTAGTTCCGGGCCTCCCCTCTCCTAGTGCTCCTTCCCCCCAATCCCCGCGCCCCTAGACACCCACAGCGCCCCTGGGTTGCTCCCTGCCACAAAGCACCCAACCTTTAGTCCGGGGTCTATAGTACAAGTCAGGAACAGGTCATGGGCCATAAATTTTTGTTTACTGCCCATGATCTGTCCATGACTTTTATTAAAAATACCCATGACTAAAATGTGGCCTGAGTTGAAAGACTAAAAACCGCACTCTCTCTCTCTCTGCTGCTGCGTTTCAGCGTTTTGTGGCATAATTTTATCTGTATAACAAAATTATTAATGAATGGCTGTGTGATGACTTGTGAAGTTCTCAGGTGTCACTGGCCTTTGTGTGCTTCCAGGATGTCTTGTTCTAACGATGTCGGTAATAATGTACATGGAAGACATTTAAAGGTGGGTTCTTACATGTCTGAGATGGAAGGAACTCTTGGGTCTAGTACACATGTGCTGTAGGCAGCAAATCCTGCGATGGCCCAAACAGAATTCTGCCATCTCTGACAGACCTGGGATTGATTTTTCGATTCAGAGGCCACACTGAAAAATCAAAACCTAATTCCATTTTGCTTTGCTTTCCAGGCGTTTTGCCTTTTAAAAAAAATGTCCTTAAATGAAAATGAAGTAAAATTCAAAATGAAATTTGTTTGGGATTGAAAAGGTGGAATGTTTCATTTCAGACAAAGCTCCACAAAACATTTTTTCAGAAAATGTGGTGTTTTTTGCCATCCAAACATTTAAGCAAATTCAACACAAATGTGCGAATTGTTTGTCAGCCTGGCTCTAGGTTTTTCTCACTTGGAAAAAAAAGTTTTATTTGAAAAATGGTGTTCAGTTGTAACCTCTATTTTGGTGTGATTCTCTTTGGTCTAAACCTTGCAGCTCTCAGAAACCAAGGTATAAAAAGCAGGTGGAAACTAGAGATGCAGTGTCCTCGCAAGGTAGCCATGGGGATCTTGCAGTTAAGTCTGACTGTCACAAAGGCAGAAAGCCAGAGTGGTTCGAAAGCTTGTCAGATAAAATAGAATTGCCATTTAGTGACTAGTTATGAGATTTTATTTTGGAAAGAAAGTGCTGGCTGGATTGGGTAGGTCACGTAACAGCTTTATACATTCTCCTTTGACTTCTGGCTACATTAAATCCTATTGAATCTAAAGCAAAGCATCCAGACCTGGGGTGTGAGAAGGCAAAAGGGAGAGTTCCTACTACCTTGGTGCTGACTTTCCCGCCAACCCGAAGGAGAAGGTAAGGAAATATTGACTGGTCCTTGTGGATCAGTGTGGATTTCAAGGTGACAACCCCATGCCCTGCACTTGACTGTGGATTCTGCACCAACACATCTCCCGGGCAGATGCAGTGTCTGCGATGTGTGACATCCTACCATGATGTGGTGAGGATGCTACAATTTTTCAGTGACGTGCTCATGACAAGGGCTAGATAAAAAAGGAAGGAGGGAGGGGACAGGAAACACTTTTCTCATAACAGAGTACAAACTTAGAGCATGTACGCCCCTGACTCGGTGACCTTGTGCCGTGGGATGAAGCTTGAAGGTGGCAGCCCTAGAGTAGGGGCAGGCCTGGCTATTAAGTAGAAGGGGTCCATGCCATTCAAAGTGGATCCTGGAGGTGGGAAAGGCTAAAAAGACTCTGAGTGTTCTGGAGAGACTGAAATTGACATCCTGGGGCTTTGAGACGTGGATGAAATATACCAGACCTGATGTCTCCCTGCTTTGCAGCCTGTGTGCTAGGTGGGGGTGCAATCTACCCCACCAGAAGGGCAGATGTTGCCTCCATGCTGCGCCTCCTTTGCATGGGGGTGAGTGATGACACAGGCTGCCAGACAGCAGGGAGACTCCAGCTGAGTGGAAGTCAGAAGAAAAGCCAGCGCTGTTCCCCCGGGCTCTGAGTCCTCGTCTGTGTCTCCCATCAGGCCCAGGAGACGCCCCTGCACATGGCCGCCCGCATCCGCGATGGGGAGAAGGTGGCAGAGATGCTGCTGAAGAG